TAACATGCCATGTGGGGAGCTTGTAATTCTTATCAGACTATCTGGACTTGAGTCCCAGCTCTGTTTCTGATCCTACCTTCCTGTTAATGAGCACTTGGGGAAGAACCAGGTGATTAGTCAAATATGTGGGTTCTTGTCACATGGGATACCCTGACTGAATGTCTGGCTTCTGGCTTGGTCTTGGTTCAGTCCTAGGTGTTGTAGTCATTGGGGAGTAAATCAGCAGGTACAAGACTATCTGTCTATGTTTGCGTTTCAAAAAAGGAAAAGATTTCTCCATCAGTGAGTTTGAAATAGACATCTAGACTTGGGGCAGAGTGAGATGTTGACCCTGCATGTTGAGTAAGGTATCAGTACCCCTACAAGTCTCAGAAATGCTAGATTGGGCATGTAGCTTAGTACTGAAGATGCCTGCAGCCCACGTTGAAGTATCTGGATATGTGTGAATCTAGGCTCTGGCTCCTGACTCCAGGTGCCTGTTGAGTCAGTACCTAAGAGAGAACAACAGTGGCTTAAGTAATTGCACTCCTGCCATCCCCCAAGGGAGACCTGGATTGTATTCATAGCTTCTGCCTTTGACCCAGCCCAGCCCCTACCATACAGGAATTTTTGGGTAGTGAACCAGCCAATAGGCATGCATGCATGCTCTCCTTCTGCCTCTTAAACAACATAAAAATAAAACACAAACTGACATGCAGATTCTTGATCCCATAAGATTCCAAATGTCAGAGCACTCCTCCAGTTTAGGTAGATACCTAGTACAGTATCATTTGTTCAAGTGGTTCATAAGCAATAACAAGTATATGTATTCTGAATTCAGTATCTGTTAGCATTAGGTTTGAAAGCTTAACATTTAATTCAATTACTGCACTAAAAGATTTCCTAGCTGAGAGATGGTAGGTTGAAGGTATACTAAAATGTTTTCTACTTAAAAAACACCTCAGATTCAGTGGCTGGCCAGATTATCTAAAACAGAAGCACTCTGTCTTCATGCAGGTAGACTCAAACACACAGCTTCCTACTACTTATACAGGAGGATGTGACTTCTTCCCTTCACCCTGAGGAAGAGGGTTTCCCTAACATGAGCATGGAGGGTCTCCCTAACATGAGCATGGAGGATCCAGTGGGAACAATTCCATGGGAAATATGTGGGTTGAGAGACTAGAGAAAGGACAGAGCTATGTCACCTAGGAAAAGCCAGGGCAGCTGACCTGGGGGCAGAATCCCAGACAAGACTGGCCTGCCTACTTGCTGACCAACCCACTGTGGGCCCAAAATAGCCTCCTCACAAGCCTGCATTTCTTCCACTCTTGTCTGTGCTAGGTCGTGCTACCTGAAATGCCCCCATTTAGAGCAGTGACCTGGCAGATGTTGTGGCAGAAGGGGTTCACTGTTTGTCCCCGGAGAGGCAGCCAGCAGTAGGAGAGGGCAAGTGGCCCCTATGGTGTGTGTCTATGGAGCACAGACTTTCCAAAGCAGTTCTTATTTCATCCTCGTGTCAGTGTCATGAGGCAGGTTTAACATGCTCCCCACCTTCCACAGGTAGGGATCCTGACTCTAATCTGCTTTAGCCCTTGCTTGTTGCACTTCCCTGATTTCTCTGCACTTCTGTAGAAGACAGCATGGAGACCATCACAATGGTCCTGTGACTTATACTTTAGCTATAGCATGGTTTACACAGGGTTTCTTTTCTGTGTGATAGCCTGAGAACTTGCCAGCTCGGTTTAAGAGGTTGTTCTACAGGGAATTTGCTACCAAAGTGGCAGAATATAATTCTACTATATTACAGTAAATTGGATTTAGGTGTAATTATGGTTTAACAATGCGAATTTCCTTCTATTTGGCTTCCAGTTTCATACAAATTAAGGCTGCCATCCTGGTCCTAGGTTCCTTAATGCTTTATTTGTCAGATGTATTGTTAAGTATGTTCTACTTCTGACTACCAGATTTACCAACGTATTCCTAGCACTTAGGACAGTACTCAGCACACATAAAGTATGTGCTAAATGAATATATGACTCATGTAGATTGCAACTTATAAAACCATGTGCCCTTTATGCTTTTACTTGGGAAATACATCTAGGATTGAGATGGTGACTGTGAGTAAAATGAGCTTTGAATGAATTCAGACAACACAGTACAACGTGGTTTTAGTTACTAGTTTAAAATTTTTCCCATTTTAAGTGTTTCCCCTCCATAAAAAGTGCATCTTAAAGGTTTGGGGAAACTGATGCCAGCTTTGGCAGACTCTCCTTATGAATGAATCTCTGGGCCTTTCAGACTAGCTGTTTTACCCCCTTTCAGTCTGAGGACTGCAAAGGATTTCCATTCAGCTCTCAGATGCTCTGGCATCTGTGAGGTCCACTTTGCAGCTTCGTCTCACACCTGCTCTAATCACCCTTTGCAAAAGACACTGGCAAAAAGCAAAGTAAATGTACAGGGATAGCTAAAGGGAAAAGTCTTGAATGTCTCAGGGGACGGGGGAGAGGGGAGGTGAAGGAAACCATTAACCTGTGAGTTTAGACAACTTACAAGGCGCGATAGGAGCAGCGTGGACCAAGTTAGAGCCAATTAGCAGGAAAGCCAGTTGGCTAACTGTGGGTCCTGTTTGGTTAGCTCCTACTGTGAAAATTTAGGACATCCACAGTGGAGCCAGCAGAAGACATAGAGCCTCAAGGGCGAGTGTGCAGACAGGTCAGGGACCAGTGCTTTTGAAAAGCACAGGGCGCTTAATGTGACATCAAAGTCCTTTCACTTGATCCCTAAGCTGCACAGATTTGAAGGGAACTAGAGGGTTGAGAATTTATGGTACTTTCTACTTTCAAATGAAATGCAATGACTTAATGTTTTTTTCCCTAAGCCTTAGCCAGTTGCTCCGTGTGCAGTGCAGGATATAAATGTCAGTACTGTGACAGGGGCGTGTTGACACTGGTGGAGTGTCCAAAGTCTGCACACTGTCATTGTTTGGCCTTCCTTGCACTGACAGCTTGCTACCGAACTGAACATACCTGGAAAGAAATCAATTTGGCTTAGAATGCCGCTGAGTTTCTCCTTGGGAATGTTTCTCTTTCAGGTCTCCTCTAGGATCAATTAGGTCTCCCATAGCTAAAACTGAATTGGGTGTGTTCTGCTGGTTCAAATGCAGATTGAGTAATCAGAAGCTTGTCCGCTGCTTGCTTTGTCGTTTTGTACTTGGGTGAGTCACAGATTGTGTCTCTTTAGATATCATCAAGCTATTACTGACAAAACCCTGGTGGCACATCAGGTTCACTGGGAGTGGGGTGGGGGTGGGAGGTTCTCAATTTCCAGAAACCCAGGACCACTCTATGCCAAGTAAATCTGACCCTCCTAGGGTTAGGTCCAGCACTGGTCTTCAAGGTTCCCCAGGTGATTCCAATGAGCATGGGCTTGTCCTAAGGACTGGCTGGGATAGGACTATACAGGCCAAGGGGCAGATCTCAGAGCCACTGATGATTTGGGTCAGAGTTGCCTCTTATTGAACAGGTATAAGGTTCCAATGAGTTTAAAATAACTCATCTGTAACCCCACAGCTAGCTGAACACAGAACCAGGATACTCTGTGCTGAGGCTCCATGAATTGATCGACACTCTCATTTTTCTTCCCTGAACATCCATGCTGGAGACCCATCCTCAGGCACCGCCTTTCGTTGCCACAGCCTGGCCGGCCCCTGAACAGAGCACCAGGTCCTGAGCTCTCAAGCATGCGGCTCCAAAGAAGCATTGTGCATGTGACATAAGGGAAAGTCTTTACAAATAGGCTGATATAGGGAACTGACGGAATTTCATGGATTTTGATCTAAGGGATCACCATGTCCTGTTTGTAATCCTAAATCACTCTTGAAGTTATAATCTACCTAATTTTCAAAGTTGCACTCTTTGTTGTGGGATTTCCGGGAAACTGTTAAGCATAAAATATCCCATTTCCTGGGGTTTTTTCCTGCCCCCTAGGTCCCTAGCCTTGGAGGATTCTTAGTTGATGGCTGACTTGGACTGGCCCATCTGAACCCTGATGGTACTGTATTAAGTACAGAACTCCTGGTGGGATAATTCCAGTGTGTGGGTGGGAGTGGGGGAAGGCAGAAGGAGTGGCCATGTGATATTCTGGTTACACACAGCTCTCCTGCCCTATGCTAGGGGCAATGTCAGCGTTTCAACTGCTACCTTCTAAAATCACATACCTCTTTGATAGGCACTATAACTTCATGTAGGAAGACCCTGTTTAAGCAACACATTTCTGACCAGAGGAAGGTAAATTTATCATTATTAGATCACAATTGACATGCCTCAATTGAATTGCGTCTAAAACCTGTCAACTTGCAAGCGGCACAGACCCGTACTCTGACAAGAACAACCCTGACTCTGAATTTTTTTTTTGTCTCCACACACATTGGTGAACTACAGCTTTCCCCCTTAGTTCCAGCCGGCATAATCTCCCCTTGTGCTTCTCTAGAACTGAACTTTTCTGAACAGATTTGACACTCCCCAGATATTTATTTGTTCTGGAAATTGAGGACCTTGTGCGCTTTTTTTTTCCCCCTTTTATTCTGTCTCTAGCTTTTGTGAAAAGCCTGGCCTCTTGCAGAAGCAGTTTAGGATAAAAGTACATTGTTTTCAGCACGAAGCAGGGCTGGGCAGGCACAACAAAACGGATAAAGAGCTTGGTGGGTTGGAGGGGAGGGAAAGAACTTAAAAATGGAGGAGTGGAGCTGTATATGGGGTCGGGAAAAAGTGGGGGTACCTGGGCGTGTTCCTGTCGTGGTCTGAATCTCTGTTCATCGGGCAGTTTAAGGGACTGAGGGAAGGTTCCACACTAACTGCTGAGCAAAGCAGCTCGTGGCTTATACAGGCAAGGCATACAGGACGGTGGTGCACTTCCGGGGGGGGGCTACGGCATCCACCAGGTGCGTGCAGGCGCGGGTAGGGGCGGCGAGGGGGGTCCACCAGCGGTCCCCGCCCCCGCGGGGAGGGAACGGTTCTTACAGTCACGGCTCAGCGCGAAGGGCGCGCGGCGGCGGCCAAGGGAGCGGTCTTCGGCGGGCACCTCGGGAGGCCTCTTACCGGCGGGCAGCGGGAAGGCGGACGCGGTGTGGAGCAGCACCAGGCAGACAGCCACGACATCCCATAACTTCATCTTAGAGTCCCGTCCGGCGGCGGCACCTGTGCGGGCGGGCCAGCGGGAGACGGAGGAGAGAACCGGCAAGAAGACTTGTTAGGCTCGTGCGCCCAGGGCGCGATATCCCCCGCCCATCAGGTCCCTGCGGGCCCCTTCCAAACTCCTCCAGCCTTCCAAACTCCTTCCAAACTCCACCACCCTCCTCGAGCACGGCTGCACGCCTGCCGTTTGTTCCCCTGGCTCTCCTCTGCCCTCCTTTCAAGTTGCTTCCTCACTTTCTTCTCCCAGGTGTGACCCAGAAGCAGCTCTTGCTCCCCTGGCCAGGCCGCGCCTGACCTTTTCCTCTGCCACCCTGCCCCTAGGGTAAGATTTTCAAGCACAGCCATTGCCACCCGCACTCCTAGGCTGGGAACCCACTCCGTTCCACACCGCAACAGGACACCCAGATTCCTGGGCAGTCCTCGCTGCAAACGCACACCTCCTCCCATTTCCTGGAGGGCACACTCTACATGCCCCCCCCCACTAGACATTCCCCCCCACTAGGTATTCCCCCACCAGAGATCCAACCCAGGAACGCTCGTAGGCTCCCAGGACCTATCATGGTCCTTGGGTAAAAACAGCTGGGTCCTACAAGCTCCCAGCTATAGGCGGGGCAAGGCTGAGGATGGGGGGAGGGAGGGGTGCCACTGAGTGCGATCTTTTCCTTGCTTCTTCCCTCCCACCTAGATAAGACACTACCGGGGAACAAGAAGTTAGTAGAGACCTGGAGAATCTGGGCCCACGTGGGAGTATTTGGGTTAAAGTTACTTAATTACTCGAAGCATGGCCTCGACTTAAAATACTAGTTCCATCTCTTAAGGTTATGGACATCAAATAGCGCACGGGGAGCTCCAGAGGAGTATACATTAAAGGCTCAACATAGCCCCTGCCATTTTCACCCTCTATTCTTGTTTATGGCGAGATTCTGGTTCTAATCCGTTCCCCTCCCAGAGCCCCACCCACGCTTGGACGTGCGCTGGCAACCTGGCCTAGGTTGTCCCTCCCCAGGAGCGGGGTCGGGGCTCACTTTGTTAGAATGAGTGACGAGTCTCGGTTTAGATTCTCGGGCCCCACACCCCTTAAAAAGAAGGCCTCATAGACAACGGGGAGGGGGGTGGTAAGAAAGTCACCCCTGACTTGAGGCCAATGAGGCGGCGAGGAGGGGCCGAGGCACCTAGGGGTGAACTGTCACCAGCGCTCTTCTTCCTGCTGTTGTTCTCTCCAGGGACAGACAGAATCCTCAGGGGATTTATGCAGGTGCTATTTGTGCGCAACAACTCCCTCCTCCAGGTAAAGAGGATTTGGGGGATTCCCCCTCTCCCTGTGGTGGGGAGAAGACTTTCCAGGTAAATGTAGAAACTTTTCCATTACATTAAGAACAGGCGCACCTGTCTCCATTCCATAACTCCCCATAGCCCTAACCTCCAAGTTCCACGTGGCACCCCAAGCGTCAAGGCCGGGTGTAAGCGCTGAATTTAGTGGCCACCTCCCACCACTACGGAGATGAATTCATTTCCCAGCCCTGGGGCATCCGTTTGTTCACTCTGCAGCTGTTGGGCTCCGGCAGTGTGGGGACTGGGAAACTTTAAACAGGTTTGCAAACCCTGGGAAAAGCCACGTCTCAGTCTCAGACTCAGGGCGCACAGGCTAAAGACCAGCGTGCCAGGTGTGCCTCCCGTCCCCCCTGGGTGCCAGGTCTCGGGTGCATGTAAAATGGCTAGCAATGCAGACCAGTAGCGAGACGCAGGGCTGATGCTCCATTCCAAAAGGTTCTTCTCCCACCTTTTGTTTGTTTTTGTTTTCCTCCCTTCTCTTGGCCAACTGAGGGCTTTTTAAATTGGACGTAGAGATCCTCAGTTACAAGTGTGGCGAAGCTGGCAGAAGAGGACAGAGTGGAAAACTCCTCGCCCCGCCAGAGGAGGCTCCCACCTCCTGCCCTGTTGTCGGAGTCGCCAGCGTTCACAAAGAGCTCCCGTCCCAGGACCAGGGAGGGCGCATTCCTTGCTCCAAGTGCCGCCAGGGGACCCCATCCAATCAGAGTGGCTTTTCAGTCCCCCGTATTTTGCGGGGCGCGGGGAGAGGGGTTCCAGGAATGGCGCATGCAACCATTTCCTCTGGGTCCATCGGGGTCTTCTTCACCCAGGGCCTTCCCAGATTGAGTCTGTATCACTTGCCCCAAACTCATGTACAATTGTGCTGCCATGGTTCCCCCACCTCTCCGCAACTATATCACCTTTTGCTGCGTATGCTTGTCGCTTCACACGCTGCCATGTGCGAGAACCCAGCTCCCCCGCAGTAAGTCTTCGGGGCCAGCTAACCCCGCACCCCCTTTGTTTGTTTGTTTGTGGGTTTTTTTTGTTTTGTTTTTGTTTTTTTGTTTTTTTGTTTTTTTTTTTTGCTAGGCAAAGGTCGATCCTCCGGTGAGGTTTGGACAAATGTTTTCCAGAAGGGCACCTGGTGGGTCCCCCAGGGTAGGGCGGAGAGCAAGTCCCGGAAAGCCCGCGGATTCTGCAGAAGCCGCCGCTTGCTCGCTCGCTCGTCTCCCGCCCGCGGGTTGGCCGCGGGACGCTTCTGAGTTCCCGGCACCAGGGGGCACCAGAAACCGCCCGAGTCCCCACTGTGTCCACTGGGCCGACAGACTGCGTTGTCATTTTAAGTAGAAAACCGGAGAACCATAACTGGCTTCACCACCCTCTCTAAATCCGAAGCAGCCCCGGGGATCTGCGATGTCCTAGCCGACATCCCTGCAGCTCAGGCTCCCTCTTCTTTCTCTCCCGGTTTTCCCCTTCCCATTGCGCGGAAAACCTTGGCAACCTGCTTCTTCTAGACACCTTCCTTCGCCACCCCACTCTCCGGCCCCTCCCCTGTGTCCCCGCGGCGGCTCCAGTGCGGGCGGCACTCCCGGCTCCAGAGCCCCCACCTCCTGTCCCCCGCACCTCCCTGTACCTGGCCGGCTAGAGGTGTGTTTGCATTTAGCCTTAGACCCAGGTCTCAGGCAAGCCTGGGGCGCTGAGGTTGGGGGCGGTGTTGGCTATAAACTTGGCTGCTTTCTCAGGCCGCAGGGACAGAAACTACAGAAAGATCCATTGCCTTTCTGAACTGCGCCGGGTGTCCTTGGCTGATGGCGGGGGTGGGGAGGGAGTGTACATGCTTAGCTCCCCACCACTGTGATTCCCCGAGGCGAAGCCAGGAAAAAGAAGGCCGGGTGCTGCTAGCAGGCTAGCCGCAAAGGCGGCCCTGCAGCGAGGCCAGGCTCCAGGTCCTGGGGCAGCCGAACCTCCTGGGGCGGGGGTGGGCTATGGCGCGCTTCCCGGACACCCGGACACTTGTCACTTGTTGAAAAGGCGACACCTCCCACACGCCCAGGAGAAGACTCAGCCAAACCGCGATGGGGCCGAGCGGAAGCCCCGTGGCTCCCACTTGGAAGGGCCTTTGCGGGACGCGGTGTTGTGCGTGAAGTGATAGGGCTGCGGCTCTTCCTCGAAACACTGGAAAGTTGCAGGGTCCAAAACCCTGAGTTGGAAGGGCTCGCGCGCTCCCACACATCGGGGCTGGGGGCGGAAATGTTGTGTCTGGCCCAGCAGTCTAGGGGCTAGGAAGCCCTCTGCCCGCACTCCAGGGAGCGCACCCTCAGCTCTGCAGACGGGTTCAGCCTTGCGCTGAAAACTAGAGAGGCGGCTGGAGGTTTGGGGGAACCCCCAGGTGTGCATTCCTGGCGAGAATTGGAGAGAGGGGATTTCTTCCCACCAGTTGGGCTGAAAACCAAACCACCACTCAGCTGCTCAGATGGTGCCAGGCAGTGGTGGGTAGGCAGGTGTTACTGGGAGGTGGAGGCACCGAGCACGGGACTAAAAAGGTCACGAACCAACACCTGGGTGGCCTAGGCGAGACCCTGAGGAGTCCCAAGTCTGTTGGAGAAGGACTTGAGTCTGGGACATCCCAGGGCCCCCTCCCTCTCCGACCCTCCATGGGAGCACGCGCGCTAGCGACCGGGTTCCCAAAAGGGCGAGGGGATATGACTTTGCAAATACCTGGCCGGAGGAGGCTGCCCTCTATTTTTAGGATCGCAGCACCTTCGCCTCAAGTCGCTCCCCCGGGCCTGCGCTTTCCCTCTGAACAGATCAAAAGTAGCTCAACAGTTAAGTTACACTTGGGGCAGTGAGCTCCTTTGCAGCTGGCGCGGACACTCCGCAGCTGGCGATGGCTTCCGAGGTGACCCGAGCCGCACATCGAGTCTGGGCGGGAGATCGCCTCTCTCTCTCCGGTATGGCGGGGTCTGCGGGCATCAGGGCCCCCACTAATTTTCGTCCACGTGGAAAAGGCAACCTGCCCCTCCGTGTTGCTGGCCTGGCTCTGTGTCATCCAACTTATTTCTCTGTCTCTCTCCTCCCTCCTAGGACTCCCTTTAGTCTTCCCGCTTTCACTGCCTGCCCGCCCCGGGGGTCAGCCGCACCCTTCAGTCTAGTGTACCCTTCAGCCCGCTGCTCCCGCCGGCGACGCAAACGCCTCCCCTCACCCCCCGCCCGCTCCGCTCACTCACCTCGGATCCGGTCTCCGCAGACCTCCAGTTGGACATTAACTCCAGGTGCCCCGAGTCCCAGCCAGGAGACCCATCCGGGCCGAGGGCAGGAGCGCGGAGCCCCGCCTCGTAGGTCAGGGGTTCGAGTTCGCAATCCTGGGGTTGCGCGAGGCTGCGAGGGCACGCCGGAGGCGGCGGCCAAGGTTCCAGCCGCCGCCGCCGCGAGAAGGGAGAGGGCTGCCGACACCTCCCGCGTCGGACCTCCGTACTCCCAGAAGCCCAAGTCCGAGCAGCCGCTGTCCCTGCCTTGGGTGGGGGGTGACACGGCTGTGCGCGCCGTGCTCTTGGCGGGGGCTGCACGGGCCTGGGGCGGCGCGGGCGGCTCAGCGGCGGTCGCCGCACTCTGCGCCTCCTTGGGGCGCTAAGGCTGGGAGCGCAGGACGGGCCTGTCTGATGCTGCCACGGGAGCCGAGGAGGTCTTGCCTGGAGATCCGAGCGAGACAACACCACGTCAACCGGCACGGGGAGTCCCGTGAAGACATGAGGGCGCCAGGAGCGCAGGCTGGTCGTCGAGATCCCGGGGCCGGGTGCCGGGTGGGGGGAGGGGAGGCGCGGGGCCCCGGGAGGGGAGGGGTCGGGCGGCGGCGAGGCCGGCGGTGGGGGAGGGAGACGAGGGCAGCGAGGAGGCGCCGAGCTCCCGAGGCGGGGGTGCGAGTGGGTGACGCGAGACGCCCCTCCCCGGGGTGCAGGGAGAACGCTGAGCGCGTGCAGACGCCGCCCGGCTCGCGCCTGCCCTGGCCGGGTAGATCCGGAGGAACGTGCGGAGCTCCGTTCAGCCCGACTGAAGGGGGGCAATCCGAACTTGACCGCTGCACCCACGCGGGGGCTTGGCCTGGGAGCCGAACGCTGGTTCGGAGGAAAGGCGCTCTGCACCGGTGCGGGGCTACCTCGGGCTTTTCCTCGCGCCTGTCGAGGGCTGGAGTCCGGCTCTGAATCTCGCCCTCTCGCGTTTCTGCAGGGCAGAAGGCAGCAAGGAGGCGAGGAGCTGCGGCCCGAATCCTCCTTAGCACGTCCACGAAGGAGAGACGTGGAGCGGCCCAGGGAGGGAAGCCGAGGGTTTGCCAGGGGAGGCTGCGAGTGAGGATGAATTTATAGGGCTCTCGTTCCGTGACGTGCCCTCCAGTGGCTTTTCTGATTCGCTTTCTGACCTAAACACACATTAGTTTAGTCCCCATGCTAGGGCCAACACGGTCTCCAAATATCTGCTGGCTGAAGTCAGAGGCTTTGCATATCATCTATTACACGGCAGGCAATGAAGAAGGCTTCTGAGGCTGGCGGGCTCCTCCGTCCTAGGCTCCATTTTCATGCTGTTGTAATCCAATAGCAGCCACGGGGTAGACACACACATACATTCAAAATCCTGGTGCCAGAGGCGCCAGGTCATTTTATCAGGAACAGGTCAGGGGAGGTTGGGCTAAACCTGCTCTTTTATTTTCCCCTCAACCCCGTTTTTTTGGAAAAAAAAAAAAATAGCCGGGAAACCTAAAGCAAACACCTGCTAATTTTCCCGGGAGAAGGGATGTAGCCAGTCCCGTCCCCTTTCCAGAGATTTCTGAACGGGAGAGGTGAGACTTTTGGGATGTTCCTTTTGTCAGTTAGCTCTCCCCAACACCCTCTCTCCCCCCAAAAGCCGCCTGCAGCTTCTTTGGTAGAGGAGAGGAGGAGGGCTCATTCTTCCCCAGCTTGTATGGAGGATGTACCCACAAACATGCTGCATTCACAGGCTGCATATGTGTGTGTGTGTGAGTATATGTGTGCACGCAGGGGGCGGGGTGGAGTGTGGAACTGGTGCTACCTTTTGAATCATTTACTAAATAAGGTATGTCTCTGCTAAGCAGAAGCTTGCTTTCCGGAAACCACTGGCCCAGAATTCTGTGGGACCTCTTTTATTTTACTAGCCGAGGCCAGGGAGAGCATAAACAGGCTCAGTTTACATGCATGTACCTCTTATTTTATGACTCATCCGGTTGTTGGGGAGCGTGTATTCTTCAAGTAGCTGGGACAGACAATAGACAGGGGAAACGCGTGTGGCAGTGGAGGAGGGGGTAGTTGAAGAAGAAGATCATGTATTATTAAGCTTAGGTGTCACAGATCAGCTACTTTGCAGGTTTGTCAGTTAAGTTAGAGAGTGGGCGGAAAATTGTTCTTACTAATGTTACCACGATGTAAGATTAAGTGCAGTGAAAATCAAGCCATCCAAGCATGTCTTCGCTGAAATGAGGATGAGAGCGACAGTTGTGCGCAATGTGACATTTCCCCCACTGGAGAGATTTGTGATAGAGAAGTATCTGGGTTTGGAAATCAGCTGATGGAATGAGCTTCGGGCATGTATCACAGTTCACTGTTGCTTTTGAAATTAAAAGGTGAAAGTAATCAGTACCCCCCCTTGCCCCATACTGATTTTTTCACCTTCTGCAAGCTTTTCACTGGGGGATGATCAAACCGTCCAGGCACCTACAAATATGTAGTATTTGCTGCATGCCACACAAAATGCTAGACCCTGGGCGTTGTGCTGATGGGTCCTTTTGGGGTTATCAGGGACTGATACCTCTGAGCTGGCCCTAAGTAATGGGAGTGTACTGTGGAAGGAAGGCTGACCGGAATCTCCACCACTCAGCCACGTGTCTCTGAAAAGCCTTCCGGAAAGGCCACCGAGCCAGGCCTCACGAAAACTGGATTGAAGTTCAGGAACTGGAAGGTCATTCAGGATACAGCTCTGTGGCTGGGTGCACTGGTGGCCCCTTCAGCGGCAGGCATCTGCTATCCCTACTAACAGGCTTAGCCGCCAAGGTGATTCAGCTCCTCTCTCGTCCAAACCTTTTGGCTTCAGCCTCTGCTATCAACTGCCCAGCTCTCCGTTGATCTTACTCCTTTAGGGAGTACAGTCTAGTTGGCCCTGCTGGGTATTCACCAGGTGCTGGGGGTGGACGGAGCTTTTCCTAAGAGGCCTCTTGTAGGTCAGCACACCTGGGATCAGGGTGAGGTGGGGGGAGCCTATTTCTGGGCCAGCCGTTGGTGTTCAGGGGGTTGATGTCACAGGTATAGAAGCTGGCCACCTTTGATTAAGAAGCTTCCTAGGATTCCCCTGGGGCTTTCCCTCCTTAGGAAGTGCAGGGTTCTGGTGAATACTTGGGATTTCTGTATTGTCCTGTGCGCTACAAGATAAATAAGACTCAAGTCCAAGCCCTCCCTAAGTTTCTCATCTGCCAGGAGAGGCAGACATGTGCCCTGTAACATGGTGCGAGGTGACAAGTAGTCTAGCTAAGATGTACACTGGTGTTCAGGTGATAGAATGTGGTCCTCCTGTGCAACTGCAGGGACGTTACAAAACAAAGTAAAACATACCCAGACTAGGCTGTCTCTTGGAGAAGAAGAATCTTGTGACCAGTGAAATCCAGGAGTTGATATTTTTAAAGACCCCATGGGCTTATCAATTAGTGTGCCCCCACCACATTGGCCAGAAAAGCAAAGGGAGGAAGTGTGCCATATTTTAATAGATTGGAGAATAAAGACCCAGATCATTAAGTTTCTTTGGATAATTCCTGCAGATCATCTTAAAAACAGGAATTCAAAGAAAAGTTTTAAGTTAATTTTAGAATTCAATTGATTGTAAATTTGAGAGAACATTTATACACATGATTACAGCCTGCAGATGAATGAAAACCAAAGCTTCATCTGAAGATTCAGCATGGAATGAAGGTCCAACAGGGGAAAAGGGGGTGACCTGATGTCCCAGTGTTAACACCCCACAAAGCTGAGAGCTCCAGCTGCACACCTCCAGTGCTCTACCTTCCCTGTTCTCAAGAATGCCCAGATGTGTTGGTCCTGTGGTGGTGTCAGAGCCAAGTCCAGCAGGGAACCATTTGCAGCCTGGCTTTTGCTCCCAAGAGGAAGAGCATTCTCTGATAAAGCAACAACAGCAACAGCAGATTCTAAGAACTAGCACATTGCCCTTAACTCTCACCCTTTGTATAGGAAATCCACATGAAAATCAAGAGACAGCATCCCATTTTCTCTGTGGGGAAAAATCTTTGAAACCCAACCAATGTCCCATCTCACCATTGGTGCCATTTTTCACGGAAATTTCATGTGGGTCTCTATGCGGTCTGCGTTCTCTGTGATGGAGGATCTTGTAGACCTTGTGTAGAGAAAACACAAAGGTAATGTAGCAAAAAGCAAAAATCAGTTATTTTGTAGCCTGAGACCATGAAACTCAAAATAGGCCTTGATTGGGTCAGGAGGCCAAGGGAGGAGGGAGCCCTGAGGGGGCTGGAAAGGGCCCTGGTGGGCTACTCAGTGCTTAGTGATAACTTTTGCTCAGTCTGGGGACCTTAGAGCTGTCGCTCATGGAGCAAGTGGGTCAGCCTTTGGCCATCTCCGGAGAGTCCTCGGCATAGTCCCAGAGAGGCTTTGCAGCTGCTTTGCCTGCAAGGGCCAGGACCTGGGTCCCTGGACTCCCTCATAACTTGGGTCCTGACTGCTGAAATGAAATCCATCACTTAGGCAGGCAATTTCCTTTTCAAAGTCGCTGCTTTATTGGGCAGGGACTTGTTCTTTGCTGGCTCTTTTAATGGCCGTTTTCACTAACAGTACTTTTGTTTATGGAGAAAAGACTCGTTTGCCTTCAGACCAATTTAAAAAAGAAAAAGGAAAGGAAGAAAAGGCTTTTTATTTTAAAGTGTTGAGAAGAGATAATTTTTTGAAATCAGTTATTTCTGACCAAAAAAAAAAAAACTATCCTGACATTAGCAAGGTAGATTTATCAGTGATCTCTGGCTGTTTCTTTAAATGGATCAGATCGTCTAATTATTCATTCACTTTCTGTTTGGGTCCTGTTTGCATGTTTTACAATCTCTGCTGTAACCACTCAGTTCTCTCCTTGTATTGCAAAAGCAGCTAGAGATAATATGGAAATGAGTGGACGTGTCTGCACTCCAATAAAACTTTATTTATGGACACCAACATTTGAGTTTTATGTGCTGTTGTGCATGTCATGGATATTATTCTTTTTATCTT